ACTTTTTTAATTCCATGATGGTCCGTTAACAAAGGCTTTGGATGTAATTTTACTCAATGCACAAAGACAGTCACATCTAAAGATTTTACGATAACATCTGATGAATTGACAGTTTTGGCAGTTTTGTCAAGTTTACAGTACAGGAAAATTCTGCTTCATTGGGAATCAAAATGAAGTGGAAGGTTTTTCTATCCAGGATGTCTAATGGTAGTTTCAAGGTACAAGATACAAGTACAATTTTACTTTCATGGTCCCTATGGCCCCTGTCTCTACAGGATGGTGTGCCAGTCAATTTTGAGCAGTACTTCAACTAATTTTATTTTAAAAAGTCATAATTTCAGTAAATGTAAAATAAGTTATGTAATTAATGCAAGGTAATGCAATGTAAGCTATGAAGTAATGTAAACTCTTCTATACTGAAACATCTTACGATGGCCAAGTACATTCTGATATTAAAAGTCTGAACTTAAGGCTGATCACACAGCAGGTCAAGAAGACTTAAGTGAAGCTTCTACAGTCCCTTTGATGTCTACCTGCTCCATGAAGTGAACTTGCTCATTTTCCTCTTAGAGTCTGTTTCCCTTAGGGTCCACTGTCTGCAGTTGCTCACCATCAGTCTGACATGAGACATTAAATGTACTCTGTTCCATCATTTCTTTATGGCAGTGACCTATTTCTTCTCTTTGGCTATTATTTGGGCTTTTTGGTAAATAGTATAGGCAAAAAAAAATAGGAACATTAAATTACATCAACAGGGACACACACATATTGCCAATGAAAAATGAAAAATGAATGAATGAATGAATGACAAAATGTTATGTCAGAATAGGCCTATAAGCTGAGTTATTCTAAAAAATAAAATATGCCAGCAGCTACCTTTGTTAAATAAATTAATAACAAATTTTTGGTGACAGGATAACAGGAAAAAAAATATCTACCAAGTTATAAACTAGTGCAACACAACCAGTGTTGTGATATATTGAGGGAATTAGCAAAAGTTAATCTCATGTATTCATAATGCAGGGCAAAATTGCTATGCCACCAATCACTTTTTCACTAAAAGTATTGGTTTCTTCTGTTTTATTCTTAATTCTTTCTATAAGTATTAGTAACATGGGTAAATTGCAATTTTTGATTCTGGCTTGCTGCTCTGTTCTAACTTTTACAATGTAATTTCAAGTTGCTATTAATATGAAGTATGTCCTTTATATTTTCATATATCTTTCTGCTGATTGAAAAAATTGATGTAGTGAAACTGCTAACAAGCTGAGCCTTTGAAACCACGGGCAGGTGATGAAAGCCACTTCATGTCTAAAGCATCCCCAGGTCACAGCTGTCACACTCACTGCAATTCATTGCTGTCACAATCTGCTGTCCCTGCTTGTTGTTGCTCTCCTCTTATTCATCCAACTCATATATCTAAACATTCCATTACAAAAAGACATCTAATGTTCGTCTCATGTTCGAAAGGGCACAACACTCTTCTGAAATATAATTCTGAAGATTTTAGAGCTCAGAGTTCACTGCCAAATCTAAGACACTGCTTTGTAAGGGTTCCCTTGTAATTTTGTCTTTGTCTCATCTCCTGAACATAGCAGGATAAAATGTTTAGTCAGTACATGATCTCAGCTTTATTCCAACTTCTTATCATGAAGAAATGAAATATTTCCCAGTAATAGAAAGGCATTTGAAGCTTTGTGAGTTTAAAGATAACAGTACTAACTGTGAACTCAGTGAATTGGAAGGAAAGGTCAGCAAGTCATCTACTGTGGCACTGTTCACAAAGGCAATTCTTCTATCCAATGAACCTGGCTGCTTATAACCTTAAGACTCAGATTTTCTAAGACCTAATTTTGTCCTTTGTTACTTAATTAGATAAGGTTACTATTGATCTACTTTTCAGAGCAGAAATTTCTCATACATCTTCAAACTTTCAAGCATAGTTTAAATCTGTAAACATCCTGTGCTCTTATTTCAAATCTGTGCTGCCATTTCTGGTTGCAACTACATAGTCCAAGATGAGTGATTCACAAACTTTTCAAAACAACTTGTGGAAACATTGTCACTGAGGAGAAAATATTTAAGGAAAATTAGGGTAAAAAAAATGAGCCAAAAGATAATGGAAACAAAACCAAGAAGTCTAAAAATGCAGCAGTACAAAAAAAAAGGAAGCTATAATTCTAATAACAAACAGTTTTATGAAAGAGGGCAACTGCACTATTTATCCATTCTTGTAAAAATAAAGAAAAAGGAGGTTTGACCTTCTCACTTACATTTATTCTCTAAGATATTTATTTTGATTGTAGTATAAGTTATTATTCATAAATATTACATTGCCAGCACAAGGTTCAAAAAAGTATGTTGATTACAGTTTCCTGCTCAACTACTCAGTGAATATAATTCAATAGACATTAAAAATCACAGCCTCTGACTACGCCTAGCGAAGAACAGGTAAATTGCTAGTGACATTATGTCCATCCTCATGGGAAGAAAATCCCCCAACGATGACCTCATGCTTTTAAGTTGCTGGGGTTGATATTTCAATCCTGTTCATTATTAAAAAATAGGAACATAATTACTTAGCTGTGCTATCTCTGTCCACATGCCCATATTCATCTGCCATAGATAAAAACAGAGGACATAAATCTAGCCGCATTGTGCCACAATGCGGCTGAAGGAATGAGTAGGAAAGTCCTTCAAGAAAAGGTTCCTTGGACTATATAGTATTATTGAAGTAGTTATGTGAAGCAAGATCTTAGATTTAGAAGTGAGTTTTGGATGACAGATTAACACTTGTGTTAATGCATTTATCTGTAGTAGATATGTACTGTAGTTGGTATGTCACAGGCCTTGACTAAAGAAGTCATGACAGCACTTGGGTAGTGTCTCCATCAGGCTCTACATAAATATCCCAAAACTCTTAACTTATTCCATCCTTAGGTGAGCACACTTTTCTTAAAAGACCTTCAGTTAATTTTGTCATTTAAAAACATGATTGTAATCCACAAATTTCAAATTATGGCTACGTGCAAACCAGATCAGAACACAAAACCTGGTTTGCCAAATAACTTGCACAAGATGTTATGCCAAAAGTTGGAAGACACAATGAAGATTTAATTAGCATGAATATGAGATAGTTAAATTTTCAAAAATTACAGATACATAATGTAGATTATTAATACAAACAAAAGTTTAAATAAGCATGATTTTGAGAAAAAAAAAATATTTTCCAGGTACAAAGTGCTGATAGAATGCTTCAGAGAGCCAAAATTGCTAGATACTTTCAAAATCTTCACCCAGATTATAAAGAAACTATCTCTTTAACAAGAATTAACTTGTTAAGAAGTAAAGGAACTCTGGGATATGGAAAATTTTCTGGTATGGCACTGCCTATGGTTAAAATAGTATACATAGTTACATGATGACAGTGCCTTTTTTTCAGAGTCCAATACCTTTTAACCTACTAGACAGGTTTAGATTACATGAACTACAAGTACTTCTCAGTTAAGTATATGAAACAAGGGAAAGTTGCATGAAAATAGTGAAAACAAAGTTTTTTTGCCACAGTAATTAATACATGTCAGGTGTCATTTACCATGTGTGCCACACCAATTTTTATTTTCTAGATACCTCTAGTACCAGTGGTCACTGTTATAGTTAACAAAAGAAGTTTAGAATGAAACAGAGAACTATGTGTGTTCCAGAGAACATTAGTATCAAGTACCTCTTACAGAATACCGATTAAGTAAAAATAGAAAAATAAAGGTGCAGAAATCACCATTCAATCAAACAGTTAGCAGCAGAGTATTTATATTCCCAAGACACAGGCAAGATGGGAATTAGAGTGGAATCTAATCTTGTTGGCAAAGCACCTAAAGAAACAATTCTTCTTAAACCAATGTCTTAAGACTCCATGTCAACAAAGGTGAGAAAAGGATGCCATTTGAAGGCCTCCAAAGAAGATTCTACATTTGAAAGTGGAGATACCTAAATTAGGTCATCAGATCATATTTTTCTAGGTCCTTAACAACAGTCGACTTTTAACTGAATGGTTCTTTATGATTTTGGGCTTGATAGGTTGAAGAGGGAAGGCACACCAGCATGTTGAGTGCCTTAATAAAGTCAGACCTCTTCACTCTGGTTAAATCATCACAACCTGAAAAACTTTTGCAACTCTTGATTTGAAGTTCCAAGAGATTTTAAGTTGACCTAATTTTTGTCAAAGGAATTGCATTAAGGGACAGATTTCTAAAATAGCCCTGAAAACCCAAACAGCCTTGCCTTTGCATGTCTATTTCTAAGATAAGTTACACAAAAGCAAAAAAAGTTTGTGTACTTTCTGTTTCTCATTCATAAGAACTAAAGAAGGATCACAGGCAAAATGCAGATATCTCAATAAACGTCAAATCAAATTATGATTATTTAGTGGCAACAGAGAAATGCCTTTAAAATGAAAACAGATCATCTTCAGTAAGGAGAAAATACTCCATGCCTTTGATAAATGCCTCTATAACCAGTGTAATTTAGTAGAAAGCTGCAAACAAAACCTAAAATGGGTGGATAATTTCAGAGATCAGATATTTTTTACATATCTCCATAATACTACAGCTCTGGTCTGCAGATTACTGGGTCTGTTCTGTGCAACTTCATTCCAGTTTGTTCTGGGACTTACCAAATTTAGGTTCTGCAGAGGTAAAGTATCAGGCCTTTCAGCATTCTTCAGATAACTTGCAGCATTTCAATTCAAATGCTTAGATTTAAAAGTTCTAAGAACAATCTCTTCTAATTTCAGAAAGAAGCATTTTTTTCCTTGATATCTTGAGGAACACTGCCATTAGACTACAGACTATGAAATATGAGAAAACTCAAAGCTGTGTATATTGTATTGAAATGCTTCAACATAACATTTGACACCTATCTATCTTTGTAATCTTTATGATGGTTGGGACTGTGTTACAATTTTGTGCTTCATGGTTTGGTTTGGTTTGTTATATAGTTACCTTAATAACAGATGTCTCAACTCTGGATGGAGGACTCTGCACTTGTGCTGCGGCTGCCATGTTGGCGATGGTACTAAGGTGATTCATCTGGCTCATTGCCATCGTGACAGATGCTGGAGGTAGGCTCACAGGAATTAATGGGTGGGGCATCATCATAAAAGGAAGTTCCAATCCTGTTGGGAAAAAAAAAAGGGAAATAGGTCTATGCATCTATGTTAAACATTGTCTTCTTTTTTCTCCTGATGGACAATATTCAAGTGATGGGTGACAAGATGGTTCACATTGCAGGAGAAAGCAGCTATATGTCAGTTTTCTTCTGGGATACGTATGAGTGAATCACTAGCAACCATGGAGGGTTTCTAGCCACAAGGAGAGGCTATTAGACCTCTTAGTTTGTTCATATCGGTGTAATGTATGATATCACTGCTAAGCAATGGCTATTTATTATAGTTTTTAATATCTGCTGTAAGGTGCCTTAGCAAGGCATTATTATGCCACTGATGCACAGGTTAGCAGTTATTTTATGTATCAATTTTATTGCATACATATTTGTTCTTTACAGTCTCCACTTCCTCTGCTTAATACTTTAAAGGAAGTATTCCAGTATTCCCCACATCTTTGATTTTTTCATTGCCTATTTATATAAACACAAAATAAAGACAGGAACTAGAAAACTGCTGATGTTAGTGCTGAAAGATGGCAACCCGTACCATTTGGCAGAAGGTGGTTCTGTTGAAGAGGGTTGAGAGGATGGCTAACTGGAACATTATGCTGTCCAGGCAAGTTGGGGTGGTTAACAGAGGCCTGTGATCCTTGGGTGGGGGGAGACTGAAGTTTTTCTTTATCCCAAGAACCATCACTGCTGCCTGTGGGGAATGAATATATATTATTTGGATGAAGGAAGACTCCAAATTTTCAATGCCTGAACTTGGAGGCAAGGCCAGCAATCTAACCTTCTTTGCAAGTGAGAATTTTTAATGTATGTTTTGCTTTGTTTTTTTAATATGTGGGTAGGGGGAAGGACTTTAGGCTTAGGTTTTTTTCTACCCTCTGAAAGAAGTATATAAGGATAACTTTTTTAAGTTAAGAGTTAGCACACATACCTAAAAGTCTTACAGCCATGCTCATTAACATGGTCTATGTTTATGTATATCTTACATATACTTTTCTCACACCTGGCAAGTAAAACTTAACATGGTTATTTGTTTTATACATGAGAGAATATTTTTGCCTGCAAAATGTCTAACAAAAGCATATGATCTGTTTTGCCAATTAAAATTTAAACTACAGTCATATTTCTTCCTGAATTTGTGAATAAATAAACATTATATGAAGTAACTAAAAATTTAATTTATTAAGGGCATCAACATGCATATGTGCTTGGCTGACAATACTATTTTGTATATTCCATTTTTATTTCCTATTATTAATTAAAATGTATGGGATTGTATTGATTCCTGAAGTCTTCTTGTAGTGGAACAGACTAGCAGTGAGGAAGAAAGTGAACAAGTAATTACTGAGATGAGAAATAACTAATTTATTTGAGAAACATTCTTTTTTGCTCTTGCAGACTTCCTCATAAAAATGCCCACAAAATTAAACAAAAGGATACAATTAAAGTACAAAATTATCCATTCATATATCATCATTAATTTTTACATTTATATGCAATGAAAAGTTTAAAATCTTCCAAACTGACAAGTTATATTATTCACAGTGCGTACTTATATAAAATGCTGAGATTGAGTGTATGTATGTTTATGCATACAAAGCAATCTATACACTCATTGCATGAGTTTATTTACCATACACAATCAATAAACAATGTTTGAATATATTAATAAATATGGATATATGCATGCACTCTCAGCAGTATTAATATACCCATCAGCAATATATGATTGCTTCCTTCTTCATACAGAGCACAATTTCAACCTCCTGACTTTGAAAGTTTCTACTAATGTCTCTCGATAAAGACCTTAGGATAACATCAGTTAAGACGTATTTAATTTATACTCTTTCTATTTAGCATTAGGGATGATAGAAAAGTGCACTTTTCTGAATGTTTTTCTACATACATTTTAATTCTTAATGAAAAATAGAGCCTGAAAAACAACAGGAATGATACCACTTCCTTCTTACTTCAGTAGAGAGGGGACAAGCCCATTAGTCTTGACATATTTTAACATCATTTTCATTGGATGACAAAAACACAGAAGTTGGTAGAATTCCAATTTAATTTCTCTAGATCTATTAAAAACCTGATTGTAAAAGCTGTACAACATAGTTTATAATGAAAAATACTCCATTATTGCCATGATTTTCTTTCCCTTCCTTCTTACTTCAGTAGAGAGGGGACAAGCCCATTAGTCTTGACATATTTTAACATCATTTTCATTGGATGACAAAAACACAGAAGTTGGTAGAATTCCAATTTAATTTCTCTAGATCTATTAAAAACCTGATTGTAAAAGCTGTACAACATAGTTTATAATGAAAAATACTCCATTATTGCCATGATTTTCTTTCCTTTCCAATAATTCTAACTCATTAGCTCAATACTGTCTCAATCCCGGTGTAAATTCTGCAGAAGTAGGTAATGAAAATTCAGTCCAAACTCTCCTGCAATCAAACACAGCAATTTTATGAAACAATGAAAAGAATCATTATATGCAATACTTTTATTATTTTACAAGAAATTGTCATAACCTTTATGCAGTGTACATAGCTGAGCTGGTCAACACCTGATTTGAATCTCATCACCTCCAATATGTGAACAAGTTTACTGGTATTTTGAGACACTCTCAGAAAGCATGAATGTACTTTTAAACACACAGTGAAGAAGCTAAATCTTATCTGGCAAAAATCTTTCTTTTTTTTCAATTTTATATTCTCTGATTTTCTGGGGTTTACCACTGTGACATATGTATTTTACTTCCTAACATACGGAGCTACCCCACAGCCTTCTTTGGTCATCCCTTCTGGAGAGTTTACAGCCATCCATTGCAGCACTCCAGTTGTGCAACTTATCCCACCATGGCTTTGTGTTGGCAACTATGTCACAGATTTCCAGCTGCCAATGGCTTCCAGCTCTTCCTGTTTGGTGGCCATGCTGTGTGCATTGCTGGAGAGGTATTTCAGTTGAACTATTGATCCCACCACCTTTTTGGGAGGAGAAGCCTTAATTCCTTTGTGACCATTCACAGATGCTTCCAGGATTTCTAACAGATCAATAAACCTTGTATCTTTGCTGCCACATGGCTCTCTGCCACCTCCCTTCAGGGAGATGGCAGTCCAAAGGAGCTTGCTAACACAATGTCCCTCAAACATTGGTGTGCCTCCTCCAGGCTTGTCTCTAGTGACCTTGATTTTAGCTCTTTCCCCCTTCAAATCTAGGTTCAAGCTCTTTCAATAAGCCCTGACAACTCCTGTTTCCCCTTTGAGACAGGCGTACCCTGTCTCATATATGTATATATATAGTATGAAGAATATAAATTATATATAAATATA